AGCTCAGGCTGCCTGGAGCCCCTGGGTGAGGGGCCCTGCTGTGGGCTGGCTCCCCAGGAGCCTGGACACCCCGGCAGACCCCAGAGCAGTGTGGAAGTCCAGCTCCCATCCGGCTAATTCAATAAGTCACAGATACCATGACTTCATAAGGCACAGAGGCTCCACAGCTATTAGGGGAATTGGGAGAGGGGGGAGGAGGAGCTGAAATGGAGAAGGGATGGAGACGGGGAGGGTGGAGAGGGGGAAGCTAAGACAAGCAGCAGAACAAAACATCCCATAAATCATGAGGAGCTGCTGAAATACCAGAACAAATGACCCCATAGCTTGGCCATTGTTCCCGAGCGAGGGCTTAAAGCGCTCCCAGTCAAGACAAAGCGCCTCGCGTTTCGTTTCAACACCGAGCCGGCCCGGCCGGGACCTGTGCTCAGCACAGCCGAGCTGGGGGGGCTGTTCAACCCTGGATCCACGGATGGGACCGGCAGGATGGGGTGGGGTGAAGCTCTAGGCAAGGCTGGCTTGGCACCAGCTGGTGCCAACACGGTACCCACAGCTCAGCCTGCTCAGAGCATCTCCCTCCTCCCAGATGCCCCTACACTTCCCAGGTTCTGGCATTTCTCTCCTTCCACGGAAAAGCTTAGGGCCTTATTTTCCCTCTCATTTTGGTTTGCTCAGGCTAAGAGTTTCTTTGGCTGGGAAGTTACAGGGCTCCAAGGCTTCTCCTCTGGAGTAAGACAGCTCAAGCAGGACTGTGAAACCTGGAGGAGCTCTGAGCCTGCTGTCTAATGGTGCTGCTCCTCTTTGCCTCCCAGAAGTTGCTGACAATCCACTTTGTGGTAGCTGCCCCTGGCAAAGGGACAACTGTCACACAGAGTCCTGGGGACAGTCCTCCACAGCCATGGACTGCTGAGATGGGAACAGCACCAGGCTCTCACTGAGCTGTGCAGTACAGCCCTCCCATGCTCTGGATTGGGAACAGTCAGATGGATCAATCAGCAGCTCAGCCCTTCCCATGGGCCCTGCAGCCCTGCCAGGACCATGGCACTTGGGTGCCAGAAGGTAAGGAGCCTACAGATGGGGACAGGTCAACTGTGCTGGTGCCTGTGTCAGCAACAGCAACCATGGGAGGAGGCTGAGCAGTGCCAGGCACCTCCACAGCATGGATTCCATGCCCAGCAATTCAGGGAGAACTTCCACACCACACGAGACCACTTAAACCCAAAGGGGAAATAGTATATGACAAAATTTTAAATAACTTTCAAGAAAACAGTTCCCTTAAGAACCTTTTGCTTTAGAACCAAACCCAAGACATGGGGCAGAGTATGGCATCAATCGCATGCAGCGTCTTTGCCAACTCGATGGTGCCAGCACATTTTCATATCCAGTGGCTCCCTGCCCTCATGTCACTTTGGTCCCATAGCAGAGGGACACACAGCCCTGGTGCTGGGACACTATGGGAAAACCACTTGGCACCTTCCATCTGAACCTGTGTGGTCTGCACTGGGGGCTGCAGGGTAGGCAGGTCCCTGTGCATCCCAGTTTTCGGCAGCAGGGAAAAGAAGAGCTGGGATTCACACTGTGCCAAGGGTCAGGCAGGAAAACAAGCTGCAGGCTGAGCCCGAGGCGGCTGCCTGCCGCCAACCACCAGACATGCTGCTGCCAGCGCGGCTTCAACACTCGTGGTGGGCAGCCAAGGAGCAGAACCGAGATAACGGGATGGGGGAAGAGAGGAATGTGCTGCATTTTTCCTGAATCACCATGGGAATAGGCTATTCTGATCATGGATTGCAGGGAGGATGTCTGGCAGGAAAATTTGAGGAACCCAAATAGAAAAAGCAGCGAGTAAGCAATGAAGAAAACAGGGAAATTAGGGTGAACAAGAGGTGAGTATGGGAAAAGGAGCGTGGGGGAAAGGTAAGAGAAGGAATGGATGGAAGAAGGAAAACCAGAATGAGAGGTAGGAAAGGAAAAGGAAGAGACAAATAGAAGCCAGGAGGACAAACCTGACAGGGCTGGAACTCCTGATGAGCAGCGGAGCTGGAGGGATGTGATAGGGAACAGAGGCTCCCAGCTATGCACACAAGAGCAAACCAGGGATCGAAGCCCTTTTATTGGATTAAGCCTCTAAGAGGGAAGATAAACATGGAGCATTTCTCAGGTAACAGGCACAGGAGGAGAGGAGGTCTCAGTTCACTCTAAGTGAGAAGAACAGGGATTGCTGAAGTTTTGGTATAGCTGTAGGACAGTCTTCATGGGAGTCACCAGCATTCACATTCCTCACCCCAACAGCAGAAGGTGGTGGGCTTCAAACCAAGAGTGCTTTGGTAGACTTAGGCTGTTTAGGTTTGGGAGCTAGATTAGCATCACAAACCAGCAGAAAGCAGAGCTTTAATAAACCAGACCCCAAATCCTTCCTTGCCTCAGTTACCAGATTTTGCCTCATTTGAAGCCTTGGTGCCCTTTGAGCCCCAGCATTCACTATCCAGCAAAAGAAGAAGAAGGGAATCAGTAAACCTGAATAAAACCAGACATGAGCAGCCCCCAACTTTCTCCCCCAAGCTTGGGAAAGCTCCCTGCAATGCTTCTCTCTGGGCACCTTCTGGCAGCAGGACACCAGCTCACGGGAGCAATGGGCTGAGGTGATCCAGCACATTCACGGGCCCAAACACTAGGGACTTTGTGACTCTGGCTTTAAAAAAAATACCCTAAAAAAAGCCTAATAATGAAGTATTTATTTCAGTAAACAACATATGAATGAAAGAAGTGTTTTCTCAATACTTCACTTTTTCCCTGCCTTCTCTCCCTTCCCCCCAGCAATTTCTTTTTTAATAAGTGGAACTAATGAGGCTTCTCTCGCTGTCGGCCGAGCTGGGGAGTAGGACCACGCTCTGCTCTCCTGGTGCAGCACAGGAACGTGTGCCATGGGAATAAAGCCTGCTTTGTGCCTGGGAGGAATGCAACTCATCAGTGTGTCCCAGCCAGTGAGCCAGGGAGATGTTACTCTGATGGACACACAGACTCTGAGACCTGTCACAGGAACATCCCTGAGCTTTCAGGTAGGCAGAACAGGACATCCAGCACCTTATTTATTGTGGCAGCAAGGAGCTGCATCTCCTGGCCCAAAGAGATGCCAGTGCTCAGGGACCCTGAGCTAAGGTGTCCCCAGGGAGTGGGAGAAGGGCTAAGGGGAGGTGAAAGAATCTATGTCCCATGTTACCTGGCCTCACAGCTCTTGATCTCCAACGTGATGGCATGTGGCAAAACAAAGGCAAAGGCAATCCCTCCTCATCCAGAGCTCATTTCTAAGCTGGTTTACAAAATCCCTCTAAAAGAGCATCATCTACTGCTGCTGTGAGTCGCTGCTGCACAAGGTGCTTTGCCAAATGCAAGACAGATGGTTTCCCCCAAGAAAATGCTACAGAGTGAGGGAAAATGTACCACAAATATCCCCTGACAGGGCTAAACTGGGATCCGGGGGCTTCAAAGAGACATTTAAAGGGAGGAAAGAGATTTGCTGACTTCTCGTGCTTCTTTGTTATGAATAAAGACAAACTCTGATTGTTTTTAATGAGCTCTCTGCTTGTTTTCCTATTTGCTACATTACAAATTCACATATTTGTCTATTTGTGAGATTGAGAGTAATTGCAGACCAGCTTTCCTGATGACATCGTCTCAGCAAAGGGAAGAAAGTTGTGTAAGGGGAGAAGAAAGCAATCTGTCCCCAAATATCCTGAATTCTTTGTCTGGCTCATTAATACCTGGTGAGCTTTGATGCCTAACAAACCTCACAGATAGAGGAAGCCTTTGAGGAGTGTTCCACAACCTCACACTGAAGTGTTAGAACATACAATAAATGCCAGAAAGACCTCCAAAAAAAGCAGGGAAAATGAAAACCAAACTCGACATTCTTGCAATTTCTAAGCATTTCTTTCTTTCTTTTTTTTTTTTTTTTTTTGGTTAAAAAGTTTTCCCCTCCTTTATCCATCTAAGGAAGCAGAAAGCAATGCAATTTCCAGCTCTTTTAAATAATCCTAGCAGGTCACCTCTAACAGGGTTGGCTGTGATCTGCTTCCAAAGCTGTTGCATCAGAGCTCAGAAACCCAGGATAAATGACTCCCTGCTCAAGCAGGGACTGCAGTTTGAGACCTGTGCTCATACAAGGGGCCCTACAGCAGCATCAGGGAAGGAGGGAGCACTGCAACCCTCAGAAATGGGCAAACTGGGTTGTCCCAGAGGGTGGCTCAGGCTGGAGCAGCCCCATACCCTCACACCCCTCACCCAGGCATGGTGGCAGTGAGGAGCCGCTGAAGGTTTTTATGCCACCACAGCTCCTGGTGCCCCCACAGTGGCTGTGGCCATCCTGCCATGTCTCCTCACTCTGGTTTATCCATCAGAGGTGCATCAGGCAGTGAGGGGACACATCCTTCAGCAGCTCCCATTCCTTAAACATCCTTATTCCTGCTTCTCGCACAGAGTGGCAAGGGAAAGGGAAAGGGAAAGGGAAAGGGAAAGGGAAAGGGAAAGGGAAAGGGAAAGGGAAAGGGAAAGGGAAAGGGAAAGGGAAAGGGAAAGGGAAAGGGAAAGGGAAAGGGAAAGGGAAAGGGAAAGGGAAAGGGAAAGGGAAAGGGAAAGGGAAAGGGATGAGCAGCCAGTGGTGGGGACTGCCAGAGGCTGTGTGCTCGTAGGCCCCAGCCCAGCAGACATACATTCCCATTGCCCACATGAGCCCTGAAAGACCCTCATGGCTCAATTTGTGGGCTCTCCTTCAGCCCCTCATAGGAAGGAGCCCTGGGGCTCCCTGCTGCTCCCTGCACTGGGGCAAGGGAAGTGTTTTGGCTTGATACCTTTGGGGAGCCTCTGCAGCAGATGGAGTGGTTTGAAGGGGTGTTGTCCCATGGGACATTGCTTGGACAGTGACAGAGTGGCAGCAGTGGGGAGAGGGGACAGGAGAGGGACTGGAGAGGCAGAAGCTCATTCTCCCAGCCCTGTCCTGCAGCTCTTACCATTCAATGCTCAGAGACCTGGGCCGGAAGGCAGACAGCTCGGCCGAGGCATACTCAGCTTTCCTTCTCTTCTCCTGCTTCTGCTTAACTGACAAGCGGTGGGCAAACCTAGCGAGGCTGCTTTCAGACCTGGGAAGGGGAGAGGAAAGGTGTTAATGTCACTGAAGCACCCAGCTCCCAGGGCAGGCCCACGGCACAAGGCCAGGAGATGCTCAGCTCTGGAAGGAAGGAGCTCCCGGAGGGTCAGTGGCACCAGGGTGGTGTGGCACCAGCCTCAGTGGGGAAGCAGAGGAGCAGCAGGTTTAGCATTGCTTCAACAGACCAGGACCAGCATGGGTCCATGGCATGATGCTAGCCAAACTGAAGCTGCAGCCTGGGAGGCTGAGAGAGCACCAGGTCCTGTTTCCTCTGCAGTGAAATCAGCTCCCTAGACCATATATTGCTGCTCAAACTCCAACCGGTGATGGGCAATGCTGGAGAAAGAGCCAGGGAAGCATTGTGGAGAGAATCAAAGCAGACAACTGCTGTGGCCACAAACTCCTTCTGAGAAACCCAAGATCCCCTGTGGCCTCTCAGCTGGGGCTCCCAAACACCAGGATGGCTTCCCTGAGGCGGGTTGACATGGAAATCAGCCCACGTTGGAGAGGTTTTGGAGGAAAAATGTGTGGGAGCAAATGGGTTCAAACTGCAAGACCCATCCATGATGACAAAGCCCTTTCCCACCGGGTGGGATGCTCCAGCATTGCTCCCAGTCCATGAAACCTGGGAACACAGCATCCACAGGCTCTGGGAACATGCTGCACATCCCCCTTCGCTCCAGCTCTCTCCAGCGGAGAGATGCTGTCCTGAGGCACACACATCTGCACTGTCTCCAAGCCCAGTGAGACACAGAGAGCTGGCACTGAGATGGCTCAGGAGGTGCCTGCCCTGCAGAGAACTGCAGCTCTCTGCAGCACAGAGACCCCAGTGCCTGCTGTGCCAAGGGCTGGCACTCCCAGCTTGGAGCCGAACACGGCACCACAACCCATCCCTTCTGCCAGGATGGGAGCAAGGGAGGAGCAGTATGGGGAGAGGAGACACCCTGACTTGGGCACACAATCAGGCTGGTGGCACAGGGGCTGTCTGCCAGCCCTGTCACGCACGTCTGCACAGCCACTGCCTCTCCTCCTCCTTTGGTCCTGTGCCAGCACAACCTGCTCCTACTGCTCAGCCAGCCCAGGGCTGGGCAGGTAAGGGGACAGGAGTGATTTTACAGTGGTGCCAGGGGATGAGGGACAGAGCTGGGGGGAGGTACTTTGAACCTACACACATTGTTAAACCCAACTCTCCTCTCCTTTCCAGCCCTCTCCTCTCCAGTCCTGACCAGCTTCAACCAAACAAAACACCTCCAAAGGAAGAAAGAGAAGGTATTTCTCAGAACTGAAAGCTCCCTGCCTTTCCTCTCAATAATTAAGCCAACCCCGACCTGCTAACAGCTTTTTTCCCCGATACATTTTAAACACAGACATCTTCAATTCATTAACTCTGGTTATTGATTTATTTTCCAGCTTATGAATTGCTGTTGCTGGGGACGGGGTGGAGACAGCTTTCTGGAGAGGGCTCTTGTCTCTCCAATCACTGCCGGCAAAGAGCCGCTCAGACCTTCCAGGGTCATTCTTTACATTCTTGAGAAGAAATCCTACTTTGATGTAAAGGATGAGGTTTGCCTTAAAAGAAACCCAACAAGAAACCCAAACCTCAGCTTTCCCCTGCTCACAGCCAGAGGAAGAGGCAATGAAGAGGAATGATCCAGGCACCCATTGAGCAGAGCCCAGCACCACCACCATCCCCATCACCTCGCTCTGCTCTGATCTGGTGTCTAAGCTTGTCTGTAGTGGATAAGATCCCCATTTAGGGAGGGGGGAGGGGTGGGCACAGACCACTGATGCTCTGCAGCAGCTCCTGGTGTGGTGTGGACCACGGGGTGAGCAGGGCTGATGGGTAGGAATGGGTACTGCTGGTTTCCTCTAACATTTGCTCAGCAGCATTTGACTGTTCCTGCCCACTTCCCACCTCCCTAGGAGAGGCTCCTGCCACCTAAAAGGGATGAGAGCTCCAGTCAGATGGGGGTGTTCATCTACTGAGATTTGGGGACTGCCTGGAGAATGCTGCCCTGTATGCCTCATCCCCACCACACTCCCTGCCTCATTACAGCCACCCCTCCCAAACTGGTCCCCAGCAAGGACAAGGGGCTGGGACATCCCATACCATCTGCACAGACACAAGAAGCAGCAGTCCCTGCAACAAACAAGTGCCACTGTGGTGCTGGCATGTGCCTCTTGCAATGACCACCACTGGGACAATTACACACCCAGGAAGTTTACCTGGATGCATGCACCTGCCCAAGCAGGGAAGGAGCACCCACTGCATCCTTTGAGTTGGATAGAGCCAATAGAATCTGCCAAGAAGAGCTGGTGGAGGAAAACAGGGCAATGTGTCACATGTCAACAGGGCTGTGGATGAAGGAGACTTAATCCCTGGGGCAGGGTGTGCTGGTGGGGCTGGAGAAGCCACCTGGGTGCTCAGGAACATGTGGCCTCTCTAGTCATGGCGCTGAGGGGAAGGTGCAGGGACAAAGGTGATGTATGCTCTGCAGCCCAGGGCAGGTGCTGCCTAGATCTGGCTAATGCAGGGCAGATAAGCAAGGCCACCTATGAGCCAGAAGCTGACCAAGAATCTTGAGTGCTGCTTTCACCTCCTATACCAGCCTTCCAGCCTGTGGCCACCCAGCCAGTTCAGCCACCTCCTCCAGCTGCTCACAGCCGGGTAAAAGGAGACGGCTGAGATGGCTCTGACAGGCCAGCACCTCTCCCTTGAGAGCTGTCAGCAACTCATCCAGCCATGAACCAGCCTCCTCTCACCTCTGCCAGACCCAAAAGCTCAACAGAAGCATCACTAATTAGAAGCCAGGAGCACATTACAGATCATCTGGTTATTTATACAGAGCTGCTTTACATAAACTGTGCTGCAAAAGGGGGAATGAATCATACCTGCTCTGCCATGGCTGCACGCTGGCAAGCACAGCCGACCCAGCACCCTGCTCTGCCCCACTCCCCTTGCCCCACTGAGACCCTGCTTGTGGGTCAGCAGCCCTGAGCTCCTGTTTTGGGGCTACTCCAGTCCCCTGAGGTCGGGGTGCTTCCAGGGTAAGGATGCTCCCAGGGTCTGGATGCTCCTGCAGCCACACTGGACATTGTGCCTAGGTCTGGGCTCTGCAGGTGGCAGTGGCAGTGAGCCTTGAACATGGGGAAAGGGATGCTGTCAAGACCACATTTTTGCTTCCCAAGTGCTTTCCAAACACTAATACATGCCCCTGTCCCTTTAGAAAAATCAGCATTAGGGATTTTAAGGTAGAAGTAGGGAAACTGAGTCATGGAGAGGCTGTGCATGTAAGACAGGCTCCCTATAGTTGTCAGCATCTGTCCTCTCGTGCACTTCACTGATGGGCAAGATTTCTGTGCCTCCCCCCATCAGTACCACACACTCAGCACCACAAGTGCTGGTTTGGGGAACAGGCAGCTCCAGGGAGCCACTACCACCCTGAAGCATCTTCATCCTAGCCACGGGATGGGGACAAGGCCAGCACCACTCCCCCAGCCCTGCCACTGCATGACAGTGCTCCTGGTCCAGCCGGGCAGGATTTGGGCTCACCTGCCCACCCCTCCATCCGCAGCAGCATCTCTGCAGCAGCTCAGCATCAGCACTCTCAGGGCTTGGCAGACGCAGCTGGCAACTGCCAAGGCTCCCCAGCAGTCCCTGCACACCAAGGGGACACGCGGGAAAAGCCATCAATTGGAACATCAACCGCAGCATTGGGAAGAATTGTCTCCTGACAACCAGAGAAGGTTGTTCAGCTACTGTGCTGTATCATAAATCACACCTCTATGACTTGCCATCTGTCAGCCAGATTACACATGTTCAGAGTCCCATGTCAGCATTTAAGTCAGAACACCGCATCTTCTTCCCAGAAATAATTATCAATGCTAAAAGCTCTTGCAGCAATACCCATTCTCAACCCTTCCTTACACAGCCCTGGGCAGAACAGAGCTGGCATTCCCAGAAGGCAGGACCACCACTGCGGCACAGGGATGCAGAGCCTGAATGTGACATGGCCCCCTAAACCCACTGCTTCAGGTAACTGGTGGGAGGGCAGGGTCTGGCATGGCAAACCCCTCTGTGCTGGGTTCTGCATCAGCCACAGCACCCAGAGCCCTGCACAGAGCAGGCAGGGGCAGCTGGAGGCAGAGGCTGCTGCTGAAGGGAGAAGGGGACAGTGCTGTCCCCAACTTGGTGTGCCCAACCAGGACAAGTGGAGGGTGCCCAGAGCAGCACTCAGATCCCCAGCCCAGTCAAGGGGGATGAGTCCAGCTCAGTGCAGGGCCCATCTCCCACTGCCCCACACACCATGTGACACCAGCCTGTGCCCATCCCTTGACCCCACATATTTTCTGGGGGTCCAACCTCAGCATGGGTGACTGCTGAGGCCCCTGGCCCACTGAGGCAGTGGGAGCACAGACAGAGTGTGGACACAGCAGGCTGGCACCAGTCCCCATTCTGGGTCAGACAGCTTGCTGAGCCAGCACAGGACACAGCACCCTAGCCCAGAAATCCCTCAACTGCCCTTCGAGATACGGACAAGGGTCTGAATCACCATCCTCCACCCAATCGCTGGCTGGACAGGCAGATGAGCAGTGACATTTCCCAAAGCTCAGCACAGAGACACACAGGGACTGGATTCATCCCTCTGGCTTCACCCACCGTGCACAGGCACGAATCCGGCCAGGGGTTCACAATGGCTCCCCCACACCACAAATGCAAAGTGATGACAAGCAAAATCCTGGTCCCCTCAGCTCTGCTTCCCTCCCTCCCTCGTGGTGGCCCTGGAGGAACATTGTGGGCTGATCTGCTAAAAGCCTTTCAGCAGTTTGCAGCCGTTGGAGTGAGTGTGTGCCCACAGAAGCTCAGTTGCCAATGTGTCACCTCACCCACCACTGGCATAGCAAGACCTGTCTATGTTGTGGCTGGAGCTGCAGGGCAGACCACGGTCCATGCAGGCACTGTGCCATGGGTGCAGGATGACAGAGGTCACA